GAATCACTAATCCCAAGCCTATAAGTATGAATATAGAAGGACCCAGCCAAACTACAACGGACGAGCAACGAGATGAGGAAGATAAGGAAACCAAAACAGATCCTATAATAACCGATGCATTAAATTCAGTCTCCGCTACTTTAAAATCAAAAACTAAAAAATTGCTAGAGTGGATAACACGTTACAGGAGTACGGGTGTAATAGACTGGAATGCGTATGGAGAGGTTTTATTTGATGGAGAACTTTTAAAAGGCAGTAATTTAATAGATTTAGTAAAGGATATTATTCAGGGACAACGAGGTTTCGAACCTAAAGGCTGGAAAGATTTTCTTGTAGTATTAGCAAAAATAAATACTCCTGAAAGTTTAATCGGTAATTCGACACGTCGAACTGTTCTTCAAAGAATAAAATCTGGTGGAATACCGCCTCCTAAGTCCGATATACAGCCCATGGAGCTTCAGCCGCCTAAGTTCGAAGCCGTTGTTAAAAAGAAAACGACATCATCGAAACGTAAATCATCTAAGCCTTGGCTTAACTTTTAAAGTATTTGTAAAATGTGTTCTTGCAGTTATAGAATAAAGAATTGTTGAAAAAAAAATATATATGTATATGGTGTTTTTCTTGGTTTTATTCTTTCGATTTATTGTTTTAGTGTTATAGCAGTACGTGCGTGAGACGAGAGACAGAGAGAGAGAGAGAGAGAGAGAGAGAGAGAGAGAGAAAAGTACATTTTTTTTTTCATTTTAATAAACACACAAAAAATATAGCTAATTAGTTAACATGTTCACAAACTGAATCTTAATATATTCCTTATCATACACAGGTAAATTAACGTCGTATCTACGTTTCACAAAATCGTTAACAAATGAATCATTAGCATTTCTGTCTTTAGTAAACATATTAACTATAGTTGAACTATCAACGCCTCTACATCTATGCACGATATAAAAAATACAATATTGACCACACACGGTCGACAAAGGAGCCTGTAACGCTCTATCATTAAATGTCCAACTACGTACAGACTCATCGAGAAATTTTACAAAATTATGATTATAATACCAAGGAGGGTATCCGAATGAGTCAAAAAAATCTCCTTCGTATTGGTTATTCATAAAAAATGCGACCCAATGCGAACCATTCTCTTTACTATTATCCACTTCGCTATATAAGCTCTTGGGTACCCCTTCTCCCCTTTAGGTAAGCGATCAGAAGGAAATACACCCCGAAAATATCGCTTAGTCAAAGGATCTGATTTTATTAATCTTAACAGTTGTATAGTGTCCATGATTAGAAATCTAATATTACGTTACGAGACTTATCTATTTCAATAAGTGAATCAAATTCTGAGTAAATTATAACGTTAATTGTTTCTTTCAAAGCAGTAGCGAATTGAATTTCTAAACGTATATTTCCTCGTTTAATTAGATTGAAATGTCCACTGTTTGATAAATCAGGGGTGAGATCAAACGCAAACAAAGAATATCCCCTGGGGTAGTCTTCTCTAGATATCTGGTTCCTGTATCTTCGAATAATGTACTCAAACCGGAGAATAAACTCTGATACGCTAAAATATAACTTCCTTCACCGTCAGCTTCGAAATTAGGTTTAAGCGGTTTCCAAGGTACTTGCTCACCATCTAGGTACAAGGCCATAAAGTTTGTATTGAAGTGTTGGAAGTTGTACGGGTTTTTAGAGTAACTCCCGTTGAATGCGTCAGTGCCCACTAGACCGATCACTTAGCGTTTTGGTAGATTCCCATTGTACAGCGATTCCCTGGTAAACGATAAATTTCCCTGAGGGACTGATAGGGTTTTCACCTCGACGCGACGGAGCGGGTATTTAGCTGTTCCTTTTTCCAGCGCTTTAGCGTGAGCCAGCGCTATAGATGGATTGAGTTTCACTTTTCTTACATACAAGGAGGCGTCTTCAAAATGTACCTTGAATCCAGCCGCTGCATCGGGTGACATGAGACAAAATGAGTTTTTGCTTCTGTGTAATTTAATTTTAACATCGACACCATTAAGCATCATACGATCTTGGAAAAATATATCGCAATGAATAGGTCCTATCAAATCCACCAAACGACTACCGTTAGTAAATTCAGAACGTTTTTTGAGTCCATTGTTAGCTACGGCATTTCCAACAGTAGGATTAGCCGCATCCATTCTACCCGCAGTATCTTTGTAAAACAATCCTCCCGTAAGATGAGTTTGCTTAGCATCCGTACCGTAGGTTAACAGCGTTTCAATCATAGCCCTATATGAATAGGTGTTGGTAGATGGTGTAATCAATCTCTCGTTCAACGAAACATCAACTTCACTGAATAAAGATTGTAGTAACAAATTGGTTGGTCCCACCGGGTCATCAGCATCTAAATCCGTTCCGTCGGATTTCGTGATTTTTGCTTTGACACGTAACATAGTTTGAGCCAAATCCATATATTCCTCATTTGTCCCTTGTATATTGAATTGCACCGGACCAGAATCAGATATCGATGTATATGGGAAATACTGCACCCACTGACCTTTGGTTATGCTAGTTTGAGTCGGTGGAACGGAAAACAAATCCAACTCCGATTTGAGGCATTCGCATGAGTTTTTGTGTACGTAAGCCATAATGAATGAATGTTATTCGAATATATCGGAGGTTCTTCTCGCTCTCTTAGTTCTCGTTCGAGTGATACCTCTGCTATTTCGTTTTCTCTTTTTATTCATTCTCCCACGTCCCGTCTGAGAAACAATACGTTTACCGGCCTGAACAATACGATCTTTGGCCGATTGTTTAACGCTTTTACCACTCATTACATCTCCCGCAATCTCTGCACCCGCCCGCAAGGCTTGCTTCCCCACAGCCTTAGCGCCTTTCTTCAACAAAGGCACAGCCCGCTTCAATAGACACGATAACATTCCCCCAAGTCCGTATCCACGTTGATTCACAGTTCCTTGAAATACGGGTATCGTCGAACCGCCTACCTGCCCCAGGTAATAATCCTCGTAAGCGTTAACCATTATACCAAATAAGACGATCTACTCTGTCGAAAATGAAGTTTCACCAAAACCTTTCCGCGTTGAAATGATACTTTCTCACCTGTATCGCTCCTTATATCTATCATTATAGTTTCGATATCTTTTTTAACTACGTTTTTGTAGTGAGGCATTACGTATTCGTGAGAAGCTTCTTTTTTCATATGACTTTCATTGGTTTGTAAAATTCTCAACAGAGGTACGCTGGCATCCCCTACTCGCTGATATTCGATCATGTCGGTGTACACGTACAACGAGGGCACCCTATGGTGGAGATTAATAGGTCTTTTACCTATAATTTCCGATCGTTCAGGTATCGAATCTAAGTCGATTCCCAGTAACGTTTGTAATCCTCCTAGGGATTGAATACTTGTATGTAAAGCGGTTGATACAGCTACCCTCTCGGGAATAGGGAGGAATCTGAACACTATTTTATCCTCTATATTTAACTTTCTCAAAGTATTGTTGATTTCATCAATCAGCATATTCCCCGACGTGTAATAACCACTTTGAATAACTATTTCATGGATTGTATCTGTTTTCACGTAAAACCTGTTGTTTGTTTCATCTACGTTAAACCACGAATGCGGATATTGTATTTCGGCCAGTCCGACTTCCCATTGTACGCTAAGGCGTATGGGCTCGGTTAATTTTGTAGTGTAACTGGTAAGTGTATTTTCGGGAAAATAATTCATCGAACTATTGCTGGGTAACGTAACGTAGAACTGTCTCGCCATAGTGTTTATCTTTCCAGGTTTTGAACCCAACTGTTAAATTTGGAAGGATAACCTAACCAATTAACAAAGTACTCCGTTTTACCGTTGCGTTTTCGTTTTCGTATGACTTTCTCAACACGATAGGTATCTTTATCTGTTTTAGAAACTTTTTGAATCTCTTTCTCGTAGAAATTTCCCTCAATTTCTTCACCGCTCCAATCTTTGAGTTTATATGTAAGGGCGGGCGTTCGTTTACGTTTGCATATTGTAAATATTTCTTCCGTCCAATTCGCTAAATAACCTTTCTCAAAAAGCATTTTATATCTGCTAATACGTACTTGATCACCGATTTTAAACTTGAATCTCTGTTTCTTGATTCGTTGCTTGTTTCCGTATAGAGTTTGCCACACTTCGTGTTCATTTTCTTTTGTAACGAGTATAGGCGCTGTGCCTATAGATCGATGTTTAGACTGATTGTAACTAGAAACAAGTTTGGGAAGCGCGTCGATATATTTATTGGTACCTTTAGACGTGAAATATCTCCACATTCTGGTTTTTAGCGTTCTATTGAATCTCTCAACCACGCTAGCCTTCGTTTCATTGTTTGTCGTAAAGAAATGTATGTCTTGCGATTTAAGATAGGCTTGAACCTTTTTGTTTGTAAATTCTGTACCTCTGTCAGTATGAATTTGAATAGGTTTTCTTTCACCGGAGAGAAGGGATTTCATAGCTTTCAACATGGAATCGGTGGATTTATTTTTTATGGGGATAACCCACGCAAACTTAGATAGTACATCAATACATGTAATGAGAAACCTATATTGTTTATTGTAACGTTTTAAAGATGTCATGTCTACAAGATCTAATTCCCACTGCTCGTCTATAGCTGTTACAAATACCCTATTTCTCGGGAATTTACGTTGAATTGGTTTATGTAGTGTGTATGTATCTTGTCTGCTCAGCCAGTCTTGAACTTGTTTCTTGGTTATCTTTAAGTTATTTTTTACGTTCTGATAAAGTCGGTTCACACCACCAAAACTGCCTGGATGCTTAGGGTCGTAATACACTTTTCTCAATTGTTCATCCATACTCATTTCTCTTTATCACTCAAATGAAACGTTCACGCAAACAACACGCAATATAAATAACACGCAAAGAAAAAAATTCATTTTTTTCTGTATTATTTAAAAACAGATTTATTAGCAAACACAATCATTTTTCAAACATTTTACAAATAGCAAGACATCTATAGATTTATTAAGTTAATTATATAAATTAACAGGTGAGAAATCGAAATTAAAAAAAATAAATAAATAAAAAATATGATTAACATATATAAACGTATATATCGTAAAGATTGAATTTCGGTTTTCGTTATGTTAGCAACAGTTACATACATTGTAGAATTTTTTGAAATAAGTTACCATCTGCTTTAATTAAATTTATAACTGAAATAAATTCCTTTTTATCTATACATGGTAAATCAAAATTATTTAACGCCCATTCGAAATGGACTGCCCCATAATCTATAAGATTTAAACAAATAATAGATTGAAAAAATCGTTGTAATCGTTCAAATGGTGTTGCCATATAACACAAGTCGTGATCATTTTGACTTGATCGGTTGTTAACACAACCGTAACAGTTTTTACTGACAAGAGCATTGCATACATTAATGAATTCATCACTATATGCACGTTCGATAGTGTTTTTTATCTTGTTCCATTGATTAAGACTTTTGCTTGTTTTCCTTTTTAGTTCATCTTCCAACACTTCTAAAAAAACATCATCATCGCCATCTTTGCAATCTTCACCCGCAACACTTGCTAAGTAATTACAATAATCTTCCTCGTCATAAAAATCGTTCAGAATTATTTCTTCTTCTGTAATTTTCGATGTTATGTTCATCAGTTCTAGTGCATAGTCATTTTCATTATCACCATCATCTCCCAGGACTGCATTGTCTTCTATGTTTTCGTCAACGATCCGAGTCTGAACCGGGAAATCATCCACAGTTAGATCGATGACAGGAACCTCTCCCATGAAATCGTCAACTGTTAAGTCGATGATGGTCGGAGTCTGAATCGGGAAATCATCCCTTGTTAAATCAATGACGACCGGAGCCTCTCCCATAAAATCGTCACCTGTTAAGTCGATGACGGTCGGTGTCTGATGTACCGGGAAATCATCCCTTGTTAAATCAATGACAACCGGAGCCTCTCCCATGAAATCGTCACCTGTTAAGTCGATGATGGTCGGAGTCTGCACCGGGAAATCATCCCTTGTTAAGTCAATGATGACCGGAGCCTGAGCGTTGCTTTCCATCTTCAGGTAATTTTTTTTTTTACTTTGATGATGATAGAAACAGCTACAGTTTTGGTTGTCGAATGAAGATTCAAGAATGTCACGGGTTATATACACTTTCAAGATGTGCAATAACGCATCATGGTATCCATTGTGTTATGATCTTAACAATCACACTCGACGTCATCGGAATCAAAATTATACATCCAATTGTAATGACCGCCTTCATAGTTACTTTTAACACGTTTCATCATTTCATTACATTTCATTGTTTCGTCAGGGTACTTTCCATTGTCATTTTCATCATTTACTGGGACGCATTCATTAACACCTTCAAGTTCTTTAATCATATCATCAATGAGGTCGCGTTGATTTAAAAGTTCTCGCCACTGTTTAATTGGTAAATTAATTCCCTTTCGGCTTGGTTTAAAGTCACCATCTTCTTCAGTTTTAAAGAATTCGCGAATACAGATAAACATATTTTCATTCCAAATTTGAGCGACAACATGCCTCTTTTCAGATAGGAAAATACGTTTTGTAGATGTAACTGTTGACCGGTTTGCCATCATTGGTTTGGTAGAGTCAAAATGACTCTTTCCCATATCCTGTCTGAAAGAAGCGCTTGCAGTCGGTCCAACTTCTACTTTTTGCTTCTTAGACGGATGCATTACACGATTCATTGCAGTCTTTGCCTTCTCAAACATCTTGGAATCGGTAAAATCGGCTGTTGATTTATAGTAATTCATTCTGATAGACTAAATTGAACTAGTTTCTTATAGTCAAGACAGTTGTAGTTGTTTCAACGAATTTCAGAAACTAAACTGATGTTTTAACTTCAATTTTTCTCCAGTATATATACACTAAATTGAATAGAAAGATTAGATGACGTAAATAACGTCGTTTACTTATAACCAATTGTATTATTTTATTTAATTATTTTTTTTCTTAGCTATGTTTTAGTTGTATTTTAAAGAAAACAGATTGATAACATGACGTCATAAATCTTTTCACAAAAACCCGCGCTATTCAAACCAACAAGTCACCGCATTTTAAGTCACTGAAAATCTCTTATCCAATAGAATTTAATCTTGTCACGGAGCTACGTCATCAACCTATTCATGTTTACCCGGTCAATTCAAACCAACAAGT